CCGAGTTAACCTAGTACTAGTTTGTTCTTCCCCCTCACCATCTCTCATCGTCTCCCAAAAATAGGGATACCCCTGAACCCTAGCCCGCCGCCCCTTTCCCACCGCCATGGGGTGGCGGCGCTACCCCTCTCACCCTCAAAATCACACCAAACAATCACTTCCCTTTCCTCTTTCCAAAGCTCCATTCAGTTTCCATCGAACGCCGTCGAAGCCATTCGAATATCAGATCAGAGGTTGAATCAAAGTTTCAAACCGAGGTTCCACGGAAGATTTTAGGCCTAAATCGAGGTTATTCGTGTGTCCTTGATATTAAAGACACATGATTAACTTCGGATTAGGTCGAAATCGAAGAGTTCGAAGGTTCTTCATTATTTCTGTCTGATGCTCCCTCTTTAGGTAATTTTCTTTCAGTTTTCTTTTTTCTTCTCTTTCTCCCACTGTTCTCTTTTGTTATTTCCTTCTGTCCGTCCGCATTTGCATGTCTCGTCTTGGTTTAGTTTTGAAACTGGTCTCCGTTTCCTTTTTTTGTTTTTGAATTCATTAGTTTTAGTTTGTTTCTTAATATCCTTACTTTAAAGTTGTGGGCCGAAGGGGATTATTAGCCTGAAAATTCTATGGATTGCAATATATTTGGCTGTCAGCTATATTTGCTCGTTTGAATTAGTGAATTAACTTTGAGTCCAAAAGAGGGGACGGCCCAGGTTCAATTTGGCCCACAGTTGGCCCGGGTGGGTTCAGGGTAATAACAGGGGCATTAGAGGGCAATATAGGTATGGGGCTGAAGGAATCTTTCTGATAACAGAAATAGAAGCTTCTAGTGAAGGGTTCTTTTGATATTTCAGACTTGTTGGCGGGTTAACTTGGGAAACAAGTCAAAATTTGAGGGATTCCTAAGCTAAAACAAGAACTGAAAAAGGGTTGAATTGCAAAAATCAAAACCTAAGGGCTGCCCTACTTGCTTGCATATAAAGGCATTGTATCCCTTGCCTTGCAAGGGAGATTTTAGAGAAGCGAAGAGCTGAAAATCCAGAAAAATACAAAGGCTGAACATTCTAAAAATCTGAGATTTGGAGAGCAAAAAATCCACAAAAGCAAACGGCTGAGAGTTAAATGAAAAAGCTACTGTCTCATTAATTTTTTGTAATTCTGATTCATTTTCAACTTTTGAAACTACTTTGATTCATCTGGGTGAGAAATGGTTTAAAATTGTTCATCAAAGTTGGGTTTGGAGGACTGCTGGGCTGTTTGATTTGTTCTAAACTTGAGATATTAAGTTGTTATCGATCATCCTGGGTTTTGGAGCTATTTTTGGTCGCGTTGGTGTTGATTTCTACTGCTGAGCCTGCTGATACTGTCCTATTTTGCTGATTCTCTCTTTCTCCTTTTACTTTGCTTTCACAGGTACACAATTATGTAACTCTCTTGTTTGTGAAATTTAGAATTTTGATGAATGAAGGGAAAGGCAGAAGTTCAAAGCCTAACACCAGTTTTACTCTTGATTCATTTGTATATCTTTGATGCTGTGTTTCTCTGAGTAGCCTGATGTAGTGTATTGTCGAGTTTCGAGTTTGATTAGCGAGCTTCACTATCATTTTAACTTGGGACAGTTGTGAAATTGGATAAACAATCGGATCAATTGAATCAGTAGTTAAGTTTGTACACATTCGTGATAAATGATGTGCTGAGGACTGTATTAAAGATTTTTCTCTCTGTTGTTTCATCATTGGATGTGTCAGGTCCTTTGTTATGTTTGAGTAGCATTTGTTCTCATGGTATGGATAATTGAATGGATTCCAAGTTATGGTCATGGTATAGTTACTCCGGGGCATAGAAAGTGTTCAGTTTATCATTTTAGAGTCTGAGCCGCATGTAGATGTTTTTTGAATATAAGCCTGTTGTTTGAATTCAGATTTCTTTATTCAAGAGTCTCATGAAGTATAATCTGTTATTGAATATATTAAAGTAAGGTTTAACCAAGTGTAGAATATTGCAACTGTTTTGTTGAATCGACCAAGGTGCTGATTTAAATTTGATAAATACAATATCCAGACGTCATTTCTTTTGTGGGCTGCAGGGACTCGATCTGGGTTGGACGCCCAGGTCCTTTGTGTGTCTAACTTGGGCTCAATATGGGCCCAAAGTTTTGAAGTCTCATCGCTGGAAATGGCAGTACTTACCATACGATATATTCTTGTTGGGCCAGGCTCGTTCCGTTGATTAGCCCAAAACCTTTGATCTGATTTTTAAAATAATGATCCGAGAGTCACCATGTCCTTTAGCCAATTAATCACGCCTTGGACTAGCCATATTTCAGTATATAACAATTTAAGGCCCACGTGAGTTAGTGTAGAAATCTTTAAGTAAAGTGCTTCGTGGTGTGCCATGCCAAACAAAAATGAAATTGCGTGGCCCACGTATTAGTTTTATAACCTAGATATTAAAAATGATTAATATTCGTAGAAAATCCTTTAGGGCCGTTTTAAAACACATAGTGTGATTGTGTATACGTCCGCGTAACACAATTACGCTTCTAAAAACAAAATCGGAGTATGCGTTCGCGCAACTTTGGCCCAAATTTTCTTAATATTAATAAAGTGTTACTAATTGTGGACACGTTCGCGTGACATGATTTTTGACGCGCCAAACAAGCGGGTATACGTACGCGTAACCCGTTTCAAGATAACTTTCCTTAATTAAAAGCGGTAAAAGAAGTAAATGCACATAGGTTCTAAAATCATTAATTAAACAATTTTAGTAAGCCAAGTATGATCAAAGCGACCGTGCTAGAACCACGGAACTCGGGAGTGCCTAACACCTTCTCCCGGGTTAACAGAATTCCTTACTCGGATTTCTGGTTCGCAGACTGTATACAGAGTCAAACATTTTCCTCGATTCGGGATTTGAACTGGTGACTTGGGACACCATTAATTATCCCAAGTGGCGACTCTGATTTAATATAAATAATTCCGCTTCGATTGTCACTTCAAGTTGGAAATAACTCCCTTTATTATACCCTCCCGGGGGTGTAGTAAGAAAAAGGAGGTGTGACAGCTCCAGATTTTAATTTGCACTTTAATGATTTGGTCTGCCAATAAAATTCCCAGACTTGGGCTCAAGTGGGCCCGGATTGGTGGCACACCAATGTTTCTGGAGGATGCTGATTTCGATGGCCACTTAGCATGGGCCAACGTTGGCCCAGCTCTTGTAATCCAAATAGCTCACACTCAAGCCCAATGATGCGAACACAACTGAAGTTAATCACAGAAACAGGAAATCTAACTAACAAGTTGAATTATAATTTAAAATATTTTGACGCAAATTAACTAAATTATGATATTAATTTAAATTTCAGCATGTGTTAAATCATAGTCTACCATGTGAAATGTCCAGCAACAAACGGTACAAGCTTGGGGCTCAGCAACCAAGCCCAAAGCACTCACTGTACTGTCCTCTCTCGAATGGCCCAGAATTTAAGGCTCCATGAGCCCAAGATTTACAAAACCAAAGACTGGGAATCAAGACTCAATATCGAGTCTTACCCAACACAGAAGTCTCAACAAATTTTCACCAAACAATTCTATCTTCAACTATATTGATAACAAATCAGATAGAGATACATGCTTGCATTTGATTTCTAAACTAATCCCTCAAACGAACATTGGAAACTTAAACCTGTTTAGACCACTTAAAAAGCAGATTAACAAGTGAAATAATACAAAGCTTTCCAAAACTACAAAGTAGAATCCTGACCAATTTCAACATGACAATTACTGATTTCAAACCATGAAAGCACTAAGTTGACATATTCAATCAAGCTCTCATTTCAACATATCTAGCAGTCCACTCATTCGACAAAGTTCAGTTATTATTACAAGCCAATGTTTTGAACCTGAACGCCTATTTTGACTCAACAATTCGACCTTAAGGTGCTATCACGACTAAGCAAAATAACACATGCAGGAAAACTAAATTACTACAAAAACTGAGGAATTTAATAACATAAAATGGCAAAAACAAGCAATAAGTGCAGCTAAAAACAGTGTTTCTATCCAAATCCCAACTCAGATTCACAAATCTTTACACAAATTCAATCAGGCTTCAATTCCATCATAGTTTTGAGAGTGTACCTGGAAATTGAAAGGGAAAAGAGGTGAAGAAGCAGTAGATAACAGCAGAACAAAGCACCAGCAATGCTCAGAAACTAGTTTTTCAAACCCCAGCAAATGATGTGCAACAATCAGAACTTATTTTCGATTGGAAAATGACTCACACTTCAAACCAAACTTCTATAACCCAACTTCAATCCATTCTAATTCCAAATGAGAGATCATTGTTGCTTTTTTTTAGAAATTAGAGAAAAAAATTAAAGAATCCCTGAAGCAATTTAATGAAACAGTAATCTAGCCAGTTGTGTGTTTTCTGTATTTTTCAGCTCTTCTCCCTCAAAATCTGACCTCTAAGGCAAAGAAGTAATGCCTTTATAGGCAAGCAATTAGGGCAGCCCTTAAGGTTTTATTTACCCCTTCGGTCCCTCAATTTATGACTTGACTGCCAAGTTATAGCCTAAAATTTACATGAAACCCCTACTAGAAGCTTCCCATTTTCTGCTGTGAAAGATTCTCTAACCTAGACTACCCAAATTGCCCTTTAAACCCCTGTTTATTACCCATTAAAACCCAACTAAATCAGATATGGGTCGAGCCTAGCCCAAACAACACCATTCAAAGGCTGTTGCTGGGACGGGCCAAAACACACCTAAAAGCCCAAATTTCCACTCAGCCTGGGGGCATGTGGAGACCCCAAACTTGAATCAAACAAATTGGACCTCTGAGGTGGCCCCAAAAGAAATCAGACGATTGAAACAATGATCATACAAACAAACCAACTTAATTCTATTTTTTTTTAAAAAAAAATTAATAAAGGCTACTGCTTTATGGGAAGTTAACCAATCGAAAACAGGAATAAAGATAAAAGAGAGGAATGCGGAAAAGCAAATAAAATGGGGAAGCAACAAAATCCACAAGAGAGCGTGGATGAGGAATACCTGAAGTCAGAGACAATGGGCTATGGGTTTGCACATATTAAACTGGTCGTCTCAATTTGAACCCGAAACGAGCGTTATGCGGGTTGTTCTTGTGAGAACAACCCGTCTAACACTTGTTTTAAGTCCAAAACCTTCAAAGCCCGGAGGGTAATCGACCTAGACCCCCAAATGGTTAAGCAAAGGTGAGGAAGGGATTAGGGTTCCGAATTTGATTCAAGATTTGGGGAGATTGAAATGGATTCAAGGAAAACCGTGTTGAGATTTGGACAAAGGGGAGTGGGAGGGTTCAAAGGTGGCGGTTAGGGTTTTGAAGGATTCCGGTGGGATTCGAAGGGAGCTGATGGTGGATTCGTGATGAGGGAAGGGAGATGGGGCTCTGGTGTGAGTTTGGTGACGGTTAGACGCCGACCGCCGCGGTAGGTGATTTCCGGCGGGCGGCAGGCGGTGGCTTATGGCGGAGGGGGCTGTTCTCTGAGAGAGACGAGTGGGAGTGAGAGAGACGGGGCTTGGGGGGGGGGGGGGGGTTCGTGAGGGTTGGTTTGGTACGATTTTTAAGGTTA